CTCTCTCGAAGACTTGAGTGTTGAAAGAGCCGCTAGTGATCTCTCTCTCTCTCTCCAAAACTTGTTCGGTCTTTGCCTTGTCGCCAAATCTCACTGCTTCTCCTGGGAAACCCGAGCAATGCAAACCTGAAACATCTCTCTCTCTCTCTTCAGGTTACCAAATTTCTCTTGCTCCTTCCTAATGCCGTTTTAGTTGATTCACGTTCGTCTTTGTGTTTTCCCGAAACGTTACCTTTAATGCATAGAATTCCAGCAAAACAATCGGAGAAAAAAGCCATCCTTTTACATGAAGTACCCATCTTTGTAGAATTCCTTGTTTTCACGTTTTGTGTATGCGTTTAAAGGTTTCAACTTTGTGCTGCTTTGCTTCTAATGTTGATACAACTCGTCTTATCCCTTTACGTGGCCTTTATCATCCGTAACAGGATCGTTCGGAATTCACTTGTCTCTTTGTTGATGCTTTTCGGATCGATGCTTTGAACAGGTCTCAGGATTGACCCTTCGATAAGCATGTTCTTGATTCTGGGTTTCCTCTATTTCTCGGGGTTTTTTTTCCCTCACTTTGGATAGCTTCTATGTGGGTTTCTTGGATTCTTCGTTTGTTTCACTGATCATGTCTCTGATATTTTGTAATTGAATGCTCAGTTTTCGATCTCAGGTAGTTTAGTGCTCAGTTTGATGCTGCGATCTGAAATAGTTTAGTTGAACCGCTACCTAACGTCTTCTTCTTAACCAATGTATGCAAATTTCGTTACTTGATCTTTGAATGTCCAGTCTTGGTTTGATCTTACTCTCCTCTCTGCATTCATACTATGGCCATTGAGATTCATGTGTTCTAGGGTGATTTTACCAGAAACATTGCTATGTTTTCTTCGTCTTGTTAGTTTGATGTTCATGTTTAGCTATGTTTTTTCAAGACCTTTTATATTTGGGCTATGAGTGAAGCATGTGTTTCATCTCTAATTCTCTGTCTTTGTGAGGAAATGTTAATTAATCAAGGTCTACTGTTGTTATTTGATCTCAGATGAATCTTTCTCTGGAATGAACATGATGTTTGACTGTCTTAGCCTTCTGTTTGCCTTATTTGCAATCTGTCTCTACTGGTTACAGTTTGCACTTTAGTATATTCTTGAAGGTTTTTGATTACAATGAAATGAGTGAAACAACTGAGTGATTTCTTATCTGCAGTTTGATAGCAGATTATGCTGACAGTGCTTGTGATGGATGAAGAAAACAGTCCTATGGAAGATTCTTGTGACGTTGAATTTGTCTGCGGAGATCCAAAAGTTGATATTCGTGTTGGGGACGAATATCAGGCTGAGATACCTCCTATGATGTCTGAATCCAAACGTGCATCGTTTCTTTTGAGTCCTATAGCTTTGGATCTCGACTCTGATTCCTCGTGTTCCTTTGTCGTCGGGCTACCTGTTGAAGTAATGTGGATAGACACCAAATATAGAGATGGAAAGGGAGTTGGAGATGATCAGGTCGACTTGAACGAATCTCTCAAATCTCTGAAAACAAAAAGAAGCCGCAGATGTGAGAGTGATGGGAACCCGGGATCCAAGCAATGGATGAATCTTGAAGCTGTGCCTATGAAATCATCCAGTTCTTGGGAAGATTTGGAAGTAGATGGCTTTGTTCTTGGGCTGTATACATTCGGGAAGAACTTTACTCAGGTGAAGAAGTTGTTGGGGAGCAAAGAAACAGGAGAAGTACTTTTGTTTTACTACGGAAAGTTCTACAGATCTGCTAAATACAAAATTTGGTCTAATTCCCTTAAGAAGCGGAGCAGGAAGTGCATTCAAGGGAAGAAGCTCTATTCAGGTTGGAGACTACAGCAGTTGTTGTCCCGTTTAATTCCCAGCCTTGCCGATGAACCACAGAAGAAGATGCTTGTGGATGTGAGTCTCTTTTCATATTCTTACGTTGAAAATATCCGGAAATGTGTAAATGTGTTTTAACAGGGTTTCTTTTAACCATAAACAGGTCTCAAAGTCATTTGCTGAAGGGAATACATCTCTGGAAGAATACATCAGCTCGGTGAAGGAACTAGTGGGTCTCCAGTCTCTGGTAGAGGCTGTAGCAATCGGTAGAGAGAAAGAAGACCTGACAGTCCTCACAACAGAACCCACAAAAGCAAAACAATGGTTCACAGTTTCTTCTGCGGTTGCTGCTGGTTTAGGGGCCTACACTTCACTCACATCTGAAGAAATAATCAACAAATTGACTGGTGGTTCCCGTCTAAGCAAAGCCCGTTGCAATGACATCTTCTGGGAAGCTGTGTGGCCGCGTTTGCTAGCCAGAGGGTGGCATTCTGAGCAACCAAAAGACCGATGTCACATCAAGTCAAAAGACCACATCGTCTTCATCGTCCCTGGGGTAAAGAAGTTCTCAAGACGGAAACTTGTTAAACAGAATCATTATTTTGATTCTATAAGTGACATTCTCACAAAGGTTATTTCCGAGCCTGACCTTCTTGAGTTTGAGACAGCAGAGATCAGAGCTCCCAGTGGATTCATTGAAGAGAAAATTTGTGACCAATCGAATCAAGAAAAACACCGTTACCTCAGGTTTCAAAAATCTTCTACTCATATAAAATTCACTGTTGTGGACACTACTAGTTTGGCCACAGGAGGAAAGTTATGTCAATTTCGGGAGTTGAAAAATCCGAATCCAGAATCTCTAATTTCTAAATTAAAAGCTGGTCAAGGAGATAACAAATCTTCCATGGAAAGATTCCAAATGATGCCGTTGGATGTACAGAAGCGTGCCAGGTTTGCTGATGAACGGAGGCGAATGAAGAAACTGGTGGATGACCCGGTTCGATTCATGATTGTGGATACAAGTGTGGACCATGCTGTGCAGTCATCAGGTCTGAGGAGACGGAGACATTTGCCAAGTGAATGCATATCCAGAGAGGCCTTTGTTGATTCATCACAGAACCAATCTGACACTAATACAGGTGTGAATTGCGAGTATCCTAAGGGGACTGATTCTGGAGTAAAGGAGGAGAGTTTGGAGAATGTCCAACAAGGATGCTCGAAGAAGAAGTTCGCCCGAAAATCAGAATCTAATAACCATCATTTGGTTAGTTCTCTCCCGTTGCCAAAACGCAGGCGGCTCAGTGCTTGTGTAAGGAAAGATATTGAACGTTCTGGTGGAAGTTCAGTGTTGAAGCCACCAGCATTAGACCAGACAACTAAGAGCCTCAAGACTAATCAATCAGAAGAAACTGAAAATGGAATGTCTTTGCATGTTGAGATTCAAGGAAGACCAGAAATTGAACCAAATGGGTTATGTCCTGTCTTGGAGACAGTCAATGAACTAAGTTCATCAGCACAACAACAAGAGCCAAATGGATTATGCTCAATATCGGTTTTGGACACGCACTGGCCTTCCAAGGAACAAGGAGCTCTTCATGAACTCAGTTCATCAGAAAAACAACAAGACGAATCAAATTTGTTGTGTAGGGACAAAAAATGCTCTTCCAAGGATCTGGAAACTGCCCAACATCAAGAAAAATCGATTCAGCTTCCTACCATGGCAGGCTCAGACAAGAAGTCTCCTTCCACTAATCATGGAAATACTTGGGAACAACAAGAAGAAGCGCATAACCAACAGACTAACTTAGATCTTCCAAGAAGACTAAGCACAAGAAAGCGGCCATTAACGACTCGTGCTTTAGAAGCCCTTGAATCTGGTTTTCTTACAGCAAAGAGCATGAAATGTACATCTAAACCGAGAAAACGCGAAAGGTCTACAAAGATCAAGCATTCAGCTAATGGGAGTAACAGAAGTCAAGGTGAATCACACAATGGTTTTCATGTAAAGGAAGAAACAGCAAGTAAACGGCTGGATGACATAGAGGATTCGGAACCTAGCTTTCTTGTGGATAAAGCAACAACAGCGAGCAAGCATGTTGTGGATCAAATACAGAATTCGAAGAAGGTGACAACCGAGTACCCTAAACTTCCTCCAATTGTTCTGAAACTTCCTTTCAAGCGTGGCTGAAGAAGCCTTGAAAACTCAAGTGTGGATCATTTTTGGGGTTATTTGATCTTAGAGCTCGGACACTGCCTGAAGAAGTGTGTACAGCAGAAGAAAGCTTTTTAATCAGATTATTTTCTTTTCTTCTTTAGTTTCCGTGGTAAAATCTGCTACATATTACATATTTGTGGCTGG